TGATTTGTTAATTGGAATAAAAAGGTCATTTACTAGTCATTTTAACAATAGATCAATTGGAACTCTATTTATTATTTAACTGGTAGTGCATAAGAATGAAATGATGAATAATTGTATTATTGTCATGAGATGAACTTTTTTCAAAATAACAAAATATAAGAAACTTATGCCAGTGAATGTTTAAATTTCTTTTAAAGTAGCATCACTTATTTCATGTATTTTCAAAAATAATCCTGCTAAATAATAAATGTAATAAAATTTTGTGTTTTATAGCCAGCAGACACAATGGTTGTTTCTGGATGAATTGGAAAAAGAACTATAAATATGACAATTTACAAGTAAAAGTTGATGTCCAAACTTTATATTTTTCCTTCCTAAATCAAATACTGTTATTCTTCTTTTACTGTACAGTATTTTTACTGCAGAGGTTTTTTTGGAAATGGCATGATACATACTCACACAGTGACTCAAAATGTAACTTGGCCTGTGATATTCTTTCGGGGAACAGAACACTCTATTTCAAATCCATTATTAAAAAGCAGATAACATGTGCACTTTCTGAAATGCCTGTGACTTCACTCTTTTGATTTTATGTAATTATAAGTGAATGTTCATATGTATTTGCTTTTCAGTTGGCACAGCATTTTAAAGCTGAATGTCCTCGGATAAAGTGCATATTTTCTTTTAGTTCATGAAGTGTGTCACAGGGTTATATGTTCAAAACTTTTATTAATATTTTATACTATAGTAGAATGTAGTTCATAGGTATGCTTACAATAAGAATGTAATGTTACCCCGTGTATGTAGAGAGAAAACATTAGATATATCTTGTTTTCTGAAGCTAACAGTTGATAAGTAGAATCTATGCCTTTCCACAGTATTAGCTTATAACTTCTATGAGTTCTCAAGGAAAACTTTGTACTCAATATTTTTCCAGAATGTGCAGCTCAAAGTAAATACTTTTCTTTTAATTTCAGTTTAGCATAATAAAATAGGGAAAACATCACCCACTTAAAAACAGCTTAAATTGCATGTACTTTGTCACTGTAAATAAACAAGGTAAACATTGACATGACTTCAAATTATTCTTGGGTTGAAAAAAATCTGCAGTTCAAAATAAATGCAGCCTTTGGTCAACATTTTGGATGCAATTCAAAGTTTCTCATAAAATAAACATATTTTAAAGAGTGTTTTGAATTTCACTGCATAATTTCTAGCCAACAGAAATGACAGTGGTATCTTTAAAGTTTATTATATGTCAGATCAATAGCTGTATGCGGCCCTAGCACAGCCCTTGGAAAACTGGTGGCACCCTCCCCTCTGCCTTAATTAACCCTTTTCACCATGACATGCAGAAAAGCTTCCCCTAGGTGTCCACGGGGAAAGCCTCCCACAAAGTGAAACTTCCCTGTTTGTGTAATAACAAAAGCATTCGTTTCTAATCCAGTGGAATAAGGGCTGAGATTGTAGTCAGGAAAGAAAAATATGCATTAAAGTTATCTTGCTGAGATCTTTTTCAAGAAAAGAGTTGTATTCTGCATGATAACAAATTGTTTTGAAGCGTGAGCTTAAAATGAAAATGCCCCATCACAACAGATTGTACATTTTTTTTTTCTGATGCTTTTAAAAGTGCCTCGATCACTTCTACGGCTTCAGTGCTAAAGTTTTAAGTATTTGCCATTTTATTTAAACATTTTTTGAAAAATGAACATTCTGAAGCTTTACAGCATTATTAAGAAAAGCCGTCCATACTTTACCATGTTGTTACATGTGTTTATCTGCTGATTATAAAATGTGTTAAACAGTATTTTAAAAACAAAAAAAAATGCAGCGCTGCGCTTTGATTAATTCACTGAATAAAACATATGCTGTTGGTTCTGTTCAATGAAATTCATATATGATCAATAAAATCTTTTAAAAGAGCAACTTGGGCTTTTAGGATTGCATTGCTGACTGTTTTTTGACCCGTTGAACTCTGAGCTCATACTGTTACCTTAGGCAAACAACCACTTTCTGGTCATGATAGTAATGTCTTTTTCATATATCCTTATCCTCTCTGATATTTCTCTAGGTTGGAAGCTGTATATTGTGGCTGTTACCCACTTTGCCCCAAAGCTTTGGTTTATCCTGAAATATTCCCAGGTAGCTGCTTTAATGGGCTTTTGTCTTTGTTGTGATTTAATACATGATTCATACTAAAATAGAAAGTTTGAAAATAAACTTAGGCAGGAGCAATTGTTTATTTGGCAAATCAACATGTTAGTGTTAAGGAAAATTTTATGTGTTTTAATACATTAAAGTAAGCTTATATTTACCATCTGTTCTTTTAAGATAACAAAAAAACAAGTTTTCAAATAGCATTCTTCATTGTTAGCATACACATCCTATACTGATGGATTTCTATAAGCAGGTCAATGTTGCTACAATTACTTACAGATTTTTTTTAATGATATACACAGAGAAAAAAAAATCAAGGACTGAAAGTCACACCAAATTATTTAAACAATTGAGTAGTTAATAATATGCAACTGTTGTACAGGGTACATACGGCTATACTACCAGTTCTTTGAAAAAATTCTCATCACTAAATATATCACATATGCATTGTGCTACATTAGAATAATGTATTTTAATCACCCAAAGGAGATGTCTAAACAGAACAACTACACAGTCTTATTTAGCATTAAACATCCTTGTGAGCTGAGGTAACCTTATAAAATCATGCTTAAATAATGTAAAACACAAGGCGGCACAGAGCAATATGCATTTTTAATTAGTAAAGTGACTAATATCGAGTGTGTGCTTTGAGGTTTTTGTTTCATTAAAAATGTATCTGTTTTTCCTGCAGCTGAATATCTGTATTCTACACCTGAACAGCTTTCAAAAAAGCTCCAGAATTTCTGCAAAAGACCAGATATTGTAAGAAAACATCTCTATAAGGTAGTTATTGAAAAAAGATTTACATGCTATAAATGCTGTATTGAAGTACAAAAAAAATCTTTTTTAAAAAAAACATTTAATTAACATACTAATGTTTAAAGGAAACATGCTAGGGAGGGATATTAGTTGTTACACTAACAAGGATTAATTAAACTGGATGCCAGCTGTATTAACCTAGGTCGTATGAAATACGTACACTTAATGCACGATACATGCTTTTTTAAAAAATTTATTGTTTTCTAAGATGACTGTCCTTTACATTTAGCCTCAAGAGGCTTATAAAAATGAACTTGGTTTAATGTAACTCATTAGTTTAAAAGGAAGGAAAGAGTCTACAATTATACTAATGAGGGTAAGCCTTTCTCCCATCATAATGAAATCTTCAGTCCTCAAAAACTCAGGTGAATGGCATCAATGAAGTTTGATGTTCTCTTTAAAACTACTTTAAAGATCACTTTCAAAAGTTGAATATGTCCCTTGTCTAGTTTAAGAACATGACAAAGATATACTCAATTATTGGAATTAACTCTGTCAGTTTGATCTCTGAATGGCAAGGGCAGAAGGCAAATAGTGTATATGAATTGCATCATTATTCAGTCCTTCATTTGTTAAGTTTTTTTTTTTTCTTATTTGAGTCAAGAATTTTAGATTGTTGAAGTAACAACACAAAGAGGCCCCACTAGAAGGCAAAGTAATCAAGTGGTATGAATCTGCTTCATGGGTTTTGAAGATGGCTCTAGGCCATGAGGAATATGCCTTTTTATATTCTTTGAATTTAGCATCTTCATCTTACATAAATTCAATATAGTTTACAATCTACCAGTTTTAGAATTCAGCATATTTTAATTTTCCTATGTTAGTATATAATCTTCTATATGAAATAATGTTCTCTGCCCTTTTTTCTGGCATTTCTTTTTTTTTTTTTTTTTTTACGGCCTAAAATACATATTTACCTAGTGATGTATCAAAACATGACTTTGTTTCTCCAGGAAACAGTTAAACTTCAAGAAAAAAGGAGAGAACCAAAAATGCAATTTAACACCCAATTTCAAGCTCATTATCTTTCATTGTCTATTAACTTGGCAATGGTTCAGAAGGTAGCTCATAATAGTTTAAAATGCTGACTGCACAGTTCGGTCCCAGCCTTCAGTGTCACTCCTTGAGTCAGTACTGTTGTATCTGCATCGTATGCACACAGAGCTACACAGAGAAGGCAGTCTCCAAGGCTTTCCCCAGCAGTTCCTAATTTTTAAAGTTCAGTAGCAGTTTTGTTTGTATGAAATATCAATTGAATAGTTTCCCATACAATAGACCATTCAAATATGCAGATTAGGAAAACTGAAGAAATAATTCAATATCAGTATGAAATGATTCATTTTATGTATGTAATATAAACCTGTTTTTAGTGAGTTCATCGTTCAAGTACCAATTTTTTTTCTTCAGATGAATTTTTGCTAAGGTATTTACAAGTCTATTTCTACCCTGAAGATTCATCAGTTTTAAGTTTGTTGTAGGTTAGACCTTATTAACTGTTACTCCACATCTGCAAATTTAACCGTTTCAGAAGTCACTGCAACAAGTTGTCTCTGCTTAGAGAAGAAAGCAGAGCTCCAGTTGAAGTGCCTTAATACATAACTACCATAACATAGCTATAATTATTTACTTTACAAACAACTTCTGTAAAAATTCTAAAAACATGTTAGCTTCGTAATATGCTGCTAATATATAAAATCATTCCTTGTACAGTGTGAAAAATAACCCATACCTTAAATGTCACTTCAGTGAATTATAATATCAATACTTACTTATATTTCTAGATTTTTGCATTATAAAGTTCTCCATCATAAACAATTCTAAATTAGTAATTTACTTGTAAGCATTTATAACATTATATAGGTATAATTTAGTTTTAAGTATTTTTACCATGGAATTTTTGTTATAAATCTGCAATACACTTTGATATATGACCTACTTCATAGATCTTAACAATATACAATGTAAATTGTAATCTCAAAAAATTAAAAAAAGTAATCGAAGATTATAAGTAATCAAAAGCTTTATGATGCAACTCTTAGGACAACTGATATTTTAGAGACATTACATTTAAAAAAATTTTGAGAAAGATAACAGATTTATTTCATTTGTTAAAATATAGTCTGGATCAAAAAAAAGAAAAAAGAATGCTTTCTAAAGCTATAATAAATCCTAATAATTTTTACCTACACTTTATTAATATACACTATCCAGGTACCATTTGCGTTCACTCTGTGCTAGAGAATTCTTTTCTGCAAGACAGGCTTCTACCTACATTGCTTATGCAGTGGAACAGGATCTTTTGTGTGTTCTGTGAAGAGAATTTGGGTGTTTTTTAAGATTTATTCATTGGACAGTGTTGTTTTGCTTTTTAAAACATATGCTTGTAAGATCTGAAAGGATAGAATGTCACTGAATTCCTTAATTTGTTCCTTTTACATTTTTACACCTTACTCTTTTTTTGTTGTTAAAAGTTTACATTTTAAAATCATTTCAACTTCTTATCATATAGAGTTCACTTTAGGATAGAGTTTTTCATATGGTTTCACACTTAGAAATTTAATGACTAGAATAAGGCTACTAACACTTGGCTTACTTCTCACATGAGACATTATACTTTCAATAAGAGTGAGAGTTTAGGGGCTCTAACTTGAAGCAGGATCTGAAACAGAATGCCAGCAACCAAAAAGCAGACACAGAATTTACTTTTTTTCTTAAAGTGACTCTACTTCAAACTCTGTCCTTGACTTATTACCTGAAATGATTTCAGGCCTGAGATATTTAAATTCTTCATGTGATTTTAAGTGTGTAGTCATTTTCTCTGTCTCTGTCTCTGTCTCTCTCTACCTGTTTCTCTTTGTCTCATACACACCACATTATTCTTAGAATTTTTAAAGAAATGTAATGCATCTAAAATTAAATGTCTTAATAATCTTTAAAAATAGGTAACTATCTTCTTAATTTAAAAAACTCTGAGACTACTTTAAAAATTTGTATGCATGTTTTGGTCACAGACTATCACATCCTTGTACTATTAGGACACACCCTCAGGAGGTCACGCAGACGCATGGAACATGAGCTTGCATAGGAAAACTAAGTTTCACTTCATCTTTAATAGGGAGCTCTTTTAGCTTCCGAAGCCTAACCTAAACACAAGTTTCTAGAAGAAGTCATAAAACAATCAGCCAGAGATTGATGTCTTACACTAACAATAGTCTTCCTCCTACTCAACCAACTCTGTACCATAAAGCAGAATTTTCTCATTTTCATTGATTTTACTTACTCAAAACTTCCAACAGTTGTTTAATATTGGTGCTTCATAATTTAATCATTTTATTTTAAAATGCTGTAGAAATAAAAGATAGTCACTTGTTACCAGTGTTGAATATAGAACAGGTGGAGAGCATTTGTGTAAAGTAGAATCACTAGGACTACAGAAGAGATTTTTATCTCTGTGTTATTTCTCATTTACTGTTATTTCTAAGTTGAGCAATCCTGGTAGAGAGTGACAGACACTATTCTTTTTGCTTTCTGAAAGTGACCTGTAGTCATTTTTTAAGGTTATTCAGATGATAGTCACTGATTTTTAGTTTGTTTTCTCCATCAAGTTCAACATCCCAGAGCTCTTTATAATCTGCTGTTATTGGAGAACAGAAGAATTTTCAGATTTCTGCCTAAAACTAATTCCAAACAATGATTAAGCTTACTATTCAGACTGTATGCCCAGAAAAGCCATTTGTGGTTGTCTTAATTATGTCAGGCTACATCTATCTGAACCAAAGCCAAACCACTTTAAGTGTCTTTCAAGAGAGTGGTCACTTTAGAGTCCCCCTTTAATTTGAGCTTATAATTTAGGCATGAACAAGGTGTTCCTCACTGGTATTAACACTTCTTTAAAGTCCTTCCTTTGTCTTTAAAAATAAAAACTTAATTGTTTGTGACATTTTAAAAACTTGTAAAAAAATCTTTCCTTTGCACTCACATAATTTAAGGCAAATTCTTAGTCTCATACTGTCTTTACTTCTCTCCTACTATACTTCCCTCCTTGCCTCTTCTCCTTCTTGTTCTTTCTTCTTTCACTTCCTCCCTCAATTTTATTTGGTTTAGTTTTCCTTTGAACTAAATAAAATAGAAGCAAAACAAAACATTTACCATGACAGGTATGCTTTGGCCAAGTGAGATCAGTTAGAGGTTTTATTTTTTCCTGCTCTTCATTTGTGGCCTGGATGTAGGAGCTTTTTGGCCCCTACATAGTTCATCTGCAAATCAGGGAGATTTTTTTAAATGATAATAGTGTCGAACCCCTGAGGTACTGCTGAAATGAAACAATGGATATAAGCCCATTTGTAAGTGTGGAGCACTTTATAAATTCCATGTAACAGTAAGGACGTTTATCTTGTGTCTGTACCACTTAAAAGTAAAATTCACATCAGCAAAAACTGTATTAAGAGTGTTGAATTTCTTGTGTTTATGAAAGTTAGAAGTTGGATGATAAACTTCTAATAGTTGTCATCCACTAACACAAACCAGGAAATATGTGCGTGGTAGTGTGTACCCATTTGCAGAACACAGGAGCTTTCACCTATGGTTAGAAATACAGGGATACTGTAAATCTCCCAGAGTCTGTGATTTCCTGAGGTGGTGGAACTCAAGACCATTTACTTGGTTGCTTTTGAAGCACGAATGACACAAGCAATGCCAATTGTAGTAGGAATTTGCAGGCTGCTTTGGTGTTTCAGTTGATGATGTTTCATTGCTTTCTCTTTTCTCCCTCCCCCTTGTTACAGGGTGAAATGGCTCCGTATTCTTGGGCAGCCCTACATAGTAAATTCAGGTCTCTGCTTACGACAGAACCTAGGGAAGATTTGTGACAGATGGGCTAAGTCACAAACTTGCAGCCTAAGGCAGAATCTGAAGAACTTTCCAGAGTGTGCCCATATTTACCTGATCAGAGAGAAAAGAAAATCTGCAGAGGAAGCTGAGCCTGGCTGCTTGTCATAGCTGACACAGAGCCATCTGCCACAAACCTGTGGCGGCTTCAGATCTCCAATCCCTGCCACCACCCCAACTCAAATTAAATACAGATTCCTAGAGACGTTATGATGGTTACACATGTCCTCGGCATCACATGTAGGAGACTGTTCAAAAAAAAATATGTGGCCTGTTGTATAACTGCACTCATGTATCCCATATGTGGTGCCACATTGAATTTCCGGTTGAATCCGTTTTTATCCTTTGTACTGGATGACATGGTGCCTGAATTCTTTCTTTTCGCCGACACGATGGCAGCCAAACTGCAGCTTCAAACGCTCACACTTGGCTGGGTTTCTACCTAGGTTGCCAGGTTATCATCGGAGCCTTCTTGTGTCCTCAAAGGGCCACGGGGCCTGAAAGGAAGATCAGAATGCTACCAGACTAATTGGGCAGCCATCTCAGAATGGTTTGTGGGCAAAGGGCTGCTTTAGCACTTTTCTTTAAGCAAATTAATGACTCTCTGGCACAGGAGTTTTTAAGTGAAGGTATTAATAAGAGGGCTGGCAGGTATTCCCATGATTCACAGAGTTACATTTGCATTTAATTAATCTTAAAGAAAGTTGCAAGATAAACAGCTGTAATTTGGACAGACAGAGCAAATACAGTCATTGCAGCCATCTCGCCTATCAAAAAATTACCACTGAAATACTTCTTCAATTTTTTCCCAGAGATAAAAATAAAGAGAACAAAATACTTCTATAATAAAGCCAGTAATTTTGATAGAAATATTCTTCAAAGGTATTTGCATCCTACCACAAGTATAACCTTTTCAAGATAAATCACTTATGAGTTCAATAGTCAAACTGCTGTATTTGTTGATATAAAGATGTTTTGAACAGCTAGATTGTAAAATAAATTTTTAATAAAGTGCCCACTGCTATTTTTAATTAGCATATTCATTTACATATAAGCATGTACATATCTCTGTATGCTTTTCACTGAATGTTTTCCATGTGTCAGAGACAACGAATACAATTGTTTCTTTTCTGGATGAACAAGGATCTGTTTTGCAAATGTTTGTAAGATATTATGACATTTCCAAGAATTTCCTTGCATTCTGGAAAGCAGGAGGTAAACATTTGTAGTCATTAAGGTAAAGTCTGTTGATAAACCATCTTCTGTTTACTGACAGGTAAATTGTAACTTCCCTAGCTCTTCAAATGAGTAAGTTCTCTACACCACAGAGGGAGAATCATCCAGGAAGAGGTGGGTAGACAAATGCCAACCCTGGCTGTCAGGCTTCTAGAAGGACTGAGTGGTCCAAGCAAGCATTGGAGTTGGAATGGACAGTGGCACTTGAGTCCAATGGGACCCATTTGAAGGGTAACAAAGTCAGAAGCCGAAGATAGAGATTAGGGAGCCAGACTTAGCCCTTGGGATAAAGTCTTATAGATTAAAGTAAGCAGGAGTTCAGAATTCATGAGCTTGGGAATTTTAAAATAGTAAAGAAGCAAAAATACTTCTATTGCCCTCCTCCCTATCCAATAAGAAATCCTTAGTGTAAATGGGTCTTCTGGTCTTTGCTTAGTGAAAAAATCACTGAACTAATTGCTTTCTCATCATACAACAAAGGGCTTGGGAACTATTTCCAAAGTCACTTCCCACCCAAAGTCTGTAGAGCTTGGGATCTACTGGGGGTGCACCATTTGGAAGCAGAACTATAGGTATGAGTATGGATAAAATGTTCACGGACATTTCTTTTAGGCAAGGTTATACTTTATACCATCTAGTAAAAATAAACCAATCAGAAATGTGCTGTGTCATAGAAGACATCTTCTCAAGATAATGTAAATCTCACAGGCAAGAAATGGTATTTAAGTTTAACTCTGCCTTTCTATCCTGAAAGCAGTGGGCTCACATTTTATGGTGGATAAGATCTTATATGTACAGTAACTATCCATGTGTTTTCTCACTAACTGTTGGGCAAAAAAACAAACAAAAAAAAATTAAGTATCTTTCAGATGCTGCATCCAAAACATTTAAATATTTTTCTGATTTGCGCAAATAAAATACTGAAAGTTCTCTTTGTTTGAGTTTTTTTGTACACCCATATGCAAATCATTTTTGGTTTTCAGCTGTGTCCATCCCTGATTCCAAGTTAAAACTTAGGTAATATTTATGCTGACAGATTTGAGATTAGTGGATCAAAACAATAAAAAGCTTTATAAACATATAATTCGAAACATTTAAAAAGATACAACTATCTCTTGTGCATATGTGTGCACAAACCTCTTAATACGCATGACATGGTAGAATAAAATGTTAGTAAGTTAATCAATATATTGATTAAGTCAGTGGATAACTGAGAGTACAGCTTCTTATTAATTCCTATTCCCTTACAGTCATGAGAAATCAAACATCCCCATTATTTCCTGTTATTAAAAAATATTTGTCTTTAAAAAAAGTTTTGTCTTTTTAAAGACATAGTTCTATTGTTTTTGTACTTTCAAAAATTCATTAAATAAAGAGGCAATATTGAAAGTACAATATGTTCCAATGATGTGTTTTTGAAAACAGTACTTTCACCTCAAGGCATCTTTCAGGCATATTACATTTTTACATGATCTGAGAATGTCTCCAGGGGTTCCTAAACTGAAAGCTTTGTCCTCAGTACGTTGATATAAAAGGTGGTAGAAACTGTAGGAGTTAGGGGCTTAGTAATTAAGCCATCATCTTTGAAGAAATAAATGCTGACCTCTCAAAGTGAGTTAGGCTTTACTAAAGCAGACTGTCCTAAAGTGAGGCCTGTGTTGCCTGCTGCCATTTCCTCTTCCTGTTTCTCTGCCATACTGTGACCCAACCAAGCAATACCTCACTGGAAGCCAAACAGATGAGGCTGCCTGCTCGTGGACGTTCAGCCTCCAATACTGTGTGCTAAATCATTTTCTTTTTCCTGTATAGTATAAAAGAAAAAAAAATCATTAAAGAAATTTAATTTTGGATACAGTGGTACCTCGTTTCTTGAATTTAATTCTTTCCACAATTCTGGCAGCAAACCAAATTGGACAAGAACCAAGTCAAATTCAGTGGTTAGCTTCAATGTTGATATTGTGGGGAAATTTGATTCAGTTCTCATCCAATTCGGTTTGCAACCAGAATCATGGAAAGAATTAAGTTCGTGAACCAAGATCCCACCGTAGCTAGGAAACTCTGGCTGTTATTAAGCCCTTGGTGCAGTGTCTAGGATGCTTGCTCTAAACCTATTTATTTTTGCCATGCTCTTAACCTTTTGCTATGTTCATTAGGAAAATATCAATACCCTTTTCAAGATGTTCCTGGTTTAATATACATCCTTCAATTGTAATTAAATTTAAATGTCCTGCTCTTATTTTCGGTTCTTCAGTTATGCCACAGAAATATGGTATTAGAATCCATAAGTGAGTGGGAACTTTAGCCATTGAGGGCTGCATAGATTAATTTCAACACCTTGAAATGCATCTGGAAGCAAAATTTCATTTTATGTTGAAGGTGTTAATTATGTTTGGTATTTTTAAAAGTAAAATCTGTTTTTGAGAAAGCATCTGCTACCCAGAAATATTATGAGATACAAAAGAAATTTCTTGTCTCAGATAGTTTCCATAGACGATGGAATCAGTTTTCAAATGGTGCACCGTGCTGTCCTGTTCATTTGCATGTTTATTTGTATTTGTGTTTATTTGGGGTTTTTTTCTTGAGGTAGGACTTAGCTATATGGTTCCAAGCTGGCCTGGAATTCACTATACAGTCAAGAAAGGCCTCAAACTTTCTATCCTCCTGTCCCAGCCTCCTGGTTGCTGGAATTTACAAGTAGGTGCCACCATGCCAACTGCACTGTCCTTGTACATGAACATAATTCCATGATTCTTACTCAACAGACTGTTGACAAGCATTGCCTAACTGCTTCTCTGTTTTACCGGGAAAAAGGGGCAGTATGTATTATCAGATCCTATATTTAACAATGCAGAGTATATTATAAGCTACTGTCATAAACCTGTTTCATTTTAAATTGAATTAAAATGTGGGACAACCAGGGTTTCTGTAATGCACACACACCAAAAATTATTCATTAAAAGATAACTGAGAAAGTTTTAAAGTATTCAAGAGATTCTACCTGCTTCTCAAAGATATAATGACCTTTATAGGTCATTAAAGAATTATAAATGCAGCCAGGCATGGTGGCACACAGTGTAAGCCCAGCATTTGGGAGGCAGAGCAAGAGAATCACTCCACAACTTTGAGGTTAATATGGGCTACACAGTGAGTTCAAGGCCAGTCTGCACTACAAAGTGAGATCCCATCGCTAAATAAATAAATGAATAAATAAATATCAAAAAAATAAAAGGAATTATAATCAAGAGATAGGAATTATCACTAAATTTTAAATAATGAGTATTTTGGAGGAGTAGTGGTGGAGAAAGCAGGTTGTCAGGAGGGAAAGACGTTCACTGTGTAATAAACATTCCATTTCTTACACTAGTTCAAGATACATGAAGGCTTACTGATACTTTATGGCCTTTTTCTTGTCTTAATTGTTGCCATTCCATAGACCTTTTCATAAGGAGTAAGAAATACTTTGGGAAGTGTAAGAGCAGTTTTGTTACCTGGCCATCCTCAAAATTGGTTTGCTTCCTGAACTATCTGTCAAGTCAAAAGGCCATTTTCTTCTGACAGTGACAAAAGCCACTCTAACTGACAGAATGTCCCCATATGACAAGACCCAAGGACTTCACCTCAATCTAGATGTCCTGCTTTGAAGAGTGTCAAACTTGACTGTAGGCTCCTTTTTTGGGGGTTCCTTATAACTATTGCTAATGCCTGTGGCATTATAGATGTAAGATGGAACACTATAGCTCTCTAAATTCCCCTGAAGAGTAATAAGAGCAGGACAGAGGCAAATGTTCGATGAGCCCACTGTTTTTACCTTGAAAAATTCAGAGCTACGTGGTAGAACACAAGAGCACTTACACCACTCTGCCCATTTCCCACCGTGTCCCCTTTCCTCAAGACAGAGTGAACTGTGTCCTGTCTTGCCATTCTTCCCCAGGGAAGGGAGCCTTCACTAGGGTCATGGTGGTGCTCTTACTATGTTGAGGCACAGACAGCTACAGGTAAGCCAGGACCCTCACTCACCTTGCCCATTTTCCTAAGTTGGAATTTGGGATCAGGGTCTTCAGGGGTCTTCAAAGTGTGTATTGTTACCTGCTTGTATCCTTATTCTTTCCATAGCTCTGTGATCATGATTTTCAACTATAGTGGAGGTTTCTATTTCTTCCCATAACTGACTTAAGGATCCATGGGAGGTAATCTAAAATGTATTACATCTATCCATTATTGTGGTCCAATAGTAGACTAAGGTCTACACCAGAAGCCATAACTCCTACTAAAAATATGTACTGGTGGATCCTCTCTCTGGGAATGCAAAATCCTTTGCACATGAAAATTTAAATGTTTTTATGTCACTCACCAATAAAAATATCAAGACATTTTATAGTAACATACTAGAAACCAAAGCATGTTTTAAAAAAATAGCTTTTTTGTACAAGCCTTTCCTGCATGGGGTATTCTTGTCACCTAAGTGCACAAGTTCATGTACCTGAATCACTTGGACCCCTAATTCTGTTCTCTCTTCATGCCAGGCAAAAGAGCAAAAAGCAGCAGACCCTGTAGCCCACACTGTTAGTGTTGGAAAGGACACCAGAGATCATGCACTGTGGCCAGAATTTTAAATGTTTTCAGCATAACTGTCACTCTGCCTTTAGGGAGGCATGGTGTCCTAAGCCTACCACTTCCTGTGATCTCACACTAGGCTTTATATGTTTAGCTACTTCTTTGGGCCTTCGAGGTAAGCATTGTTTTGGTGACTTCTGCATTTCAGATACTGGGAGAGTGAGGGCTTCGGGTGAAGTTGACTCCCATTGGGGCCTGTGGTGGAGGAGGAGGTCTGAGACTCAGGCTTTCCAAGGCTCTTTCCTGTAGATGGTGATCAGTTCCATTGGAGAAGGGCAGCCCTTGATAAGGAGGGGAAAGCGTGTGTTCCTTCATTTCCCTTCTTTCCCCCTTCTACCTCTATCAGAAGAAGCATAAACTAATTAGTTGGTAATACTTTCCTGTAGATTTATTTCTTGTTTCTTCTGGCCCTATTTTCACGGTAGATGGCCATAAAGAGAGTCATGTGAAAACAGTGATTTCTGGTGCTGAAATGTCCAGCTCTGGCCTCGGTGATATTTCTGAACAACTACCCTATGTTGCCTTTAAAATCATACAGTGGTGAAGTCACTCCTGCACACAGACATAAGGCTGCAAAAGGCAGCCCGTGTTGTCACCTGGTGCCAAGGGCTGAAGAGCAGAAGGAGCAGGTGGCGCCAGCAGCCGTACCTTTCCCTGTGCAGTGCTGGGCCTGCTTCCTCTCATCCCTAATACATAACCCAGAAATTACATCCTGAAACTTACTTCTCCCGGAAAAAAAGGAAGGGGAGGGATAGCTTTAAAAAAAGATACTTCTGATATGGTATTAGACTGTAATTCATAGGGAAATTTATGCTTGAGATATGAATTTCTGAAAATAGAGTTATTTAAAGGAAAACACTGACACATCCTTAATTATAGAGTAATAAATACCAATGGTATATTATCTTCTGATATTTCCTTACTCAGATATCAAAGCATGCAGCTGTTTTTGAAAACTGATAATCAAGTACAATATAAGTATATTACATCTTATACTTACAACACACCCTCCAACTAAGCAGCATCACAGAGCACTTAACAGTGAGAAACAGAGCTGCTCATAGAAGAAACCTAACTACACAAATTAGCTTTGACTTGTAACTTAAGAATCACAGTCAAAGTAAGATGCCTGGCCTTGCCAGGAAAGGCATTCCAAAGGCCGGAGGAACGCACCAACTGAAAAGCCTTTACTTCAGGATTGTGGATGCAGCTCTGAAAAGCCAGAAAAATACAGAACAGAGACTGTACAACTGAAGGATACATAAAAATGGTACCAGGCATTAGTGC